TGGAATGTAGTCTTCCAATGACACCCCATTGTAAGCCTTTCCCTTTTTGCCTGCCCATCAGGACAGAATAAATAACCTCTCACCAAAACCTGAGAGAAACCTGGTCACTGCGTGTGCGACCAAAACTGACAGTCCTCTAAGACTGAGGAGGCCAGAGCACCCATTTGGGGTCGGAGGCCAAAAAGAAATTATGACATTGAGATGAAATTCAAATATCAGAACCCAAAGGGACCACCAGTAAATGGAACCCATAAATATAAAGTCATGCACAGACTTCTGCAAGGCTCCAGGGGTTCAAGGTAAAGCAGTAGTTTTCCTAACAAATAGCCTTCTCCCCCCTCAGCAGCAGCGTAATGACACACGTAATTGTGACAGAGGACGTACTAAAGAGGAAAAAACAACAGACCAGCAACAGTGAGAAAACAAAGATAGATAAATGATTGATGATAGGATAGATAGATAGATAGATAGATAGATAGATAGATAGATAGATAGATAGATACCCACCCCAGTTCCGAATCCAGAAAAGGCAAAGAAGATCTAAAAAACCTGTGGCTAGTGCACTAAGATGTTAGAGCCAATGCTAAAGATACATATTACACATAGTCAAAAAAAATAAAAAATAAAAAACAAAACGTTAAGCCCCTTCCAGGACTGGGGTCCAACTCCGCATTGCACCTTTAGGCTGGAACAAATCTTCATCTCCTTGGATGAACACAAAATTTATTACTCAACGTATGAGTAAAATATATATGAACATGTATTTATCTTCAAACACTACAAATGCAGTCTAAAGCACCCAGATACTCACATTTTGAATGTACTCAAGAGCTGAGATTAAACAGAGAAGTGCTGATTTGTCCATCCCGTGTCCAGTTGGCTCAGGGCCACAGATGCATTGAGTGGCAAGGGGGGAAACTGAGGCACTACCTAATCAATCAGTGTTTTGCCATCTGTCTGTTTATCCCTGTCTTTAGCTCCTCTCACCTTGTCTCCCTCTCTCCCTGTCTCCAGCCCTTTCTCTGTGTTTCTCTCTCTTTTTGCCTCCATCTCTTCTCTCCCTTTCCTGTCTTTCCAGCACTGCATCGTGTTAAGTGAGCAGGCTGCTGGAGCAACTACACTATCATAAAAGACCACTGTACTGAAAAGCCAAGAAGATGACTTGTAAAAGAAACCCTCCCCAGGAGTCAAACTATGCTTCTGCCTATGCGTAGCTACTTGTTTTTAAAAATGCTCTTGTTAAGTGGGATTAGTATTCAACTGTTGACCTTTTCCTCTTGATTTTAGTAATCACCATTATATGAACATGCTGAACTAAACTGTTTTGGCAATCCATGTACAGTTCTGGGTAGTTTGGGTTCTGCTCAATTAAATTTCTTGTTTTTAAATTAAGTAAAAGACTCCCCTTCAGTGTTGTGTGTGTAGAAAGGTCACAAACCATGTGCCACAACTGACCACACAGGCCCAATTTTTGTGTCTGACCGAAACCTACCCAAACCCTGCCTGGCAGGTCACCAAGTGCACTGACTCCTGTTATACTCCGGGAACCTGCCTCCGGTCTCTCTCTGAGCTGGCTATTGTGGCAGAACCTGTGCCCCTCCACAAAATGTGATCCCAGTGCCAGCTAGACCTTCATGTTTCTGTTTCTGAGAATGCAGGGTTCTAAACTAACTAATCAAACTGAATCAATTCACAAATGACAGTCACTGGCTACAAATGGAGTTCAGAAAACTCTGAAAAGTTGCAGCTCTGACCAGAGAAGACATTAATTCTGCCGTCCCCACCCCCGGTCAAATGATCAATGTATGCATGCAAGTGCACGCACGTTGCGTGCACACACATAATTTCCTTCTCTCCCTGCCAACTTCTGAACACTATGATCAGCTCATACTGAGAACTTGAGAAAATATAGAGAACTGAAAAAAGGCAGCCAGTATGAACTAACTGCTTTCTCAGTATATGAACCAAGGAACTGAAGACACAGGTTTTTTCGATTCATCCAGGAAATATTTACTGAGTCCGTTTATTGAGTACCTACTGGGTACAAATCTCCCTTTCACCAAGATAATGCCCCTAGCATCAGAAATTGGCTGGGCTAAGTTATTGTAAGTCTGCTCTCTGTCTCTCCCTAAACATTCTCTCCCCACATCAAGGACTTTTCTTGGCCTGGTACAATCTTCCTTCAGGAATTCTCTTACATAACCACATCATCTCATCCACTGTGGTTCTACCTGCTGGCTGACCTAGTTCCAACTTACTGGAAAGTGTTAACCATCCATCCTAACCCTAGACACCATGTACACATGCCCAGTTCAGGTTAACACATCTTGTGACTCCTTGGGACCCTCCCCACTCAGCCTGGAATGGAAGGAGTCTCTCTGTTTTTAAAAGGAAAATAACATAAGAATGTGTTGACACACATCCAAGAGGCCATTTTTATCCTTTCGCAATGCAGTATTACTTTCTAATATCACAGTAACTGATGACTGGGGAGTTTAATCCAAATTCGCTCATGTGGATCTAAGAGCCTGAATGAATTTTGAAATGGAAATCATTACCACTTTTTTTGGCTCTACAAGAACTAAACATTCTTATACCTGATATCTGTCCTCAAACTATACATGAATATCCTCCACCCCTCACCCCACAGGCATGGGACGGGGTGCCACCAGCGGGGAGATGGAGTGCCAGGAGGGAAACAAAGCCACCAGGTGGAAAAGCACACCTTTCTGGAGAGACAAGTTCCCTCTTGGAAGAAAACAGAATATTTTATATTAAAACAAGTTCCACTGGAGTAAAATGACAACCAAATACATGGTTTTTTAAAGGATAAAAAATCAAGGCTTCAAAGAAAGTTCCTGCTTGCAGCAGTCTGTTGGGCTATGTCCATAATATATGGAGTTTTCTGCAAATAACTCTCTTGCCTTTAAATGGTCTTTAAGGAAATTTTTGAAAAGTGTTGCACCCACAGTATGAACTTCTTGAGGGCATGAACTACATCTCATCCTTCCCTTTGTCTCCAGGGACCTAGCACAGGACCTAATATACTGTCTGGCACAAAATAAACACTCAATAATGTTTGCAGAATTAATTTGGCTGATATAATGGCAATAGCATTATCAATAACAAAAGATTTCTATCACATTTGGATGGGAGGAAGGGAAGGACACAGCTGTATAAGGAAGTGGCACAAAAGCAATCCATTTACAAAAACAGTTATGGCCACCATGGTAACAATCAGTTGAAGCGCGGCTCCGTTTAGTTCTTTTCCACTTAAACAAGTACAGGAAGGCAAACACTGTACTTGTTAATTTCCCATCAGAAGGGCTTGAGGCTTAAGACACAAGTCTACCAGGTGACACCAGTAGCCATTAAATTTAATAACCTCTGGAGAGTTTGAAAAAGTATTATAATAATAATAATAATAATATCACCAATAATAAGAAGTTATGACTTGTACACTGATCCTAGGAAGGTCATTTTAATCATTTAAGGGTTAAGTGTTAAGTATCTGCTGCTGAGACCTGACAACTCTGAAAAGTAGGTCCATATGTGTGTGCGCATATATATCAAAATAATATGATGTGAACTTTCCTTTCGTTATTCCTAAAATGGGTATCTTTTTAATTAGAGGGACCCAAGCCAAGTTACAAATGAAAGATGATTCAAAGAGCACAGTTTATAGCCATATCTAAATTGTTCCTCTCCCCTGGTGGAGACATTGCATTTTAACTCATTTGTAAATACTAGAAAAGATGGGTATCACACCCACTTTCTCTATACAATCCCTCTTATACTGCAGTGAGTCACTCTCCATGCCAGCGTTCCCTGTACTTTCCAAACTGGAGAGAGCCTGGGAGGAGGCGGAAGTGAAGACTCCTTGCCCTTCAGGTCTAGTCTGTGATTGGGTGAGCCAGGCCACTGCTACCTCCCAGGGCTCTTTCCTTTTCTGAGTCTTATTTCTCAGGTATGTGAACTGCCAACCAAAAGGATAGTCTTTCAAAATGTCTTAATAATAACACCCAGAGCCCCATAAAAATTTCAACTAAAATCTAAACAGAAAGCAAAAAACATTACAGCATTCACATATTTGCAGTGCCTGAGGAAGAAGAGACAGCAGCTGCCTGAGACGTACCAACACACCAGGAATAGACGGATGCAAATTAATCTTAAAAAAAAAAAACAAAAAAAAAAAACCTGAGCAGCTTCCCCTCCTTACCCTGCCCCAGCAGGCATCCCTTTTCCCGCTAAGAATTAATTTAGTAACTTTATATTACGTTATTTCTCTTAGAGTCATTAGAGTAGAGAATTAATTGTATGATTTTATCATGTTATTCTGTTATATATGAAAAGAGTTTTTCGATTCACAACACCTAGGATCAAATCCTTCCTCTTTTATTAAATGGCAAGTCCCTTAATATTTTTGGGTCTAAGTTTCTTCATCAATCAGAGAAAAGAAAGTCTACCTCCCAAAGTTACTCTGAAAATTAAAATGAACTCTGTAAAATGCCTAGCATATAGCAAGCACCAAGGAATATGTGTCCATCAATATAAATAGCCAACAATGTCTCTTCTACTTAGTAGTAGGAAAACAACATATGCAAAAACTGCTACAGAGAACAGCAAACTGGCAAAGGACCCGGGTCACCACCGCTCACCTCCCGGAAGTCCTCCAAGTAAGTGACAGAACCAGGTCGTTGAGGAGCCGGCACTCCTAAACCCGTGTCCTGGAAGAATCTCTAGATGTTGAAGATTTCACTCTGTCCCGTGTAATTAACAAAGCGCCTTTTGCAGGGCTCAGAAATAGCCAAATGAAACCTAGTCCCCTAAACCCTGATTCTGAATGCATTCTGTTTCTTCAACTCTTAGGGGACCTCGGTCTTGGAAAAGTTAGAGAGTCGGTGAATGGAGAAAAGCAAGTCACATAGAAGAGTAGCTTCCAATGGGTCTGCAGAGGAAACACCATTTTCACCTCCAGCCCTCCAACCCCCGACACGCACCTGGGGATGAACTTGGCCTCGTCCCCGAGTCTCGTCTGGAAGTCCTGCCAAGCCTGGCTGGGGCCCACCGCTCCCCAGGGAGCTGCCAGAGCTGCCGCTGCCACCTCCTCGTCGCCTTCGTCCTCCTCGCTGTCCCCGGGGTCGGACCCAGCCCGGGACTCGGAGAACGCGGGCTCCCGCAGCCCGCAGCCCCGGCGCCGCCCCCCGCGGCGGGCCCCGCGGAAGCCGCGCGCGAACTCCTGAAAGGTGATGGCGCCGTCCCGGTTGGAGTCCAGCCGCTGGAACACAGCCTCCGCGTCGGCCGGCCGCACGCGCAGCTCCGCGCACAACGCGCTGAACTCCTCACGCTCCAGGCGCCCAGAGCGGTTCGCATCGCAGGCGGCAAAGACTGAGCGCAGCCGGGCCAGCTCCTCCCGGTCCTCATCCGCTTCCATCCCGCCCGACGGGGGCGGTCGAGAGAGCTCCAGAACACGACGGGGCGCACTGCGCGCCCCGACTGCGGCGACAGCGGGAAGTCCGGGGCCACCTGCTGCTGGCGAGAGTCGTGGAGAGTTGGACTCGTCCGGGTGGTTCGGCCTCTTGCGGGAACGTTCGGGTAGCGCGAAGGGACTGCGCGGGTCGGGGGCGGCACGCTCCAACGATGGCCCTGCGCGCGGAGCCCTGTTGGCTGCCTACGCGCCCTGTGAGCGGCTGACTTGGCGCACAGCTCAGGAGCGTCCGCCAGGAGAGTCCACGGTTTGTCGGCACTGGCTACTTTCCTGGCAGGGCCCGGCCCCGCCCAGCCAGAGAGGAGGAGCGCGCGGCTCTGGCACCCTTGCCTCCGGGAGCCCGGCTGTGCTTTCCGTGTTGGGCTCTGATTTGGGGCTCTTGAAGTTGGGGACCCAGCCGGAATTGGGGGTGCGGTTGTAGCGTTGCCAGGCCCTTCGGCATAAGCTCTTAATCTACTAAAACCAAGAACTTAGCTCCCCACAGATAATGTTGCTTTCATGAGCGTAGGACGCTAACTCTCTTGGCAGAAAAGAGTTAGAGATAGTGTTCCAAATTGATTGACGTTATGTGTATTTTATTCTAATTCCGGACAATTGATAAACTTCTGTATATACAAGTTTTCTTACAAACCAAGGGGTAAGATTGACCCCATTCTTTGGTTTTACTGGCTTTCCTTAAGGCATGGCCGTCCAACATTAAGGTCCAACTAATAGATAATACACGATAGAAATCACATAGATTTTCCAGATACCCACATCCAAATAATTTTTCTCAGTTTTTGTCTCTTCAATTTGAGAGAAAATTAATAACCTAGATTATTGGTAGTCAGCAATATTTTCGAGACTGGGGTAGTTTAAAAAAATCCTTAAGAAAGTGACATATCCAAATGTATGTTCCCCTTTGTTCTTAAACACATTTCAACAATACTATTATTTCTTTAGTACTGTTCTATGGGTATAAAGTCTTTAAAATTCATTCATTTTGTTCCTTTTTAAAAATCTTGCCCTTCCAGTTACAAAAGACCTTCATACTGTCATATGAGTTGTGTAGCAAATGTTTCTTACCATGATTCTTACAGCCTGTGAAAATGCATGTTATTTTTACTTTACTTAGATTACCTGTTCCCTCCACTTTTTAGCCTTTCTTTACTGCCATTTCTTTTATTTATGACTCTGTATTTCCATTTTACCTCGTTCTTCATTCTTTTTATTGCTTATTACTTTGATTTTTTTAAAAATATGATAAAGTAGGGGATTTGACTGACACGATAGTACAATAAACACCATCAACACTCAGAGCATCTATCAAGCTGTAAATACCACTGGTAATGTCCATCTGTAAATTTAACTCAGTTTTTTCATCCACTCATTTACTGATGGGCATTTAGGCTGTTTCCAGTATTTGGCTATTGTAAACAACACTGCTATGAACATTAGGGTACATAAGTTCTTTCGAATTGGTGATTCAGGAGTCTTAGGGAATTTCTGGAATAAAAAGCAATCCCATTTTTAGTTTTTTGAGAAAATTCCATACTGTTCTCCACAGTGGCTGCATCAGTCTGCATTTCCCCCAACAGTGTACTAGGGTTCCCTTTTCTCCACAACCTTGTCAGCACTTGTTTGTTGATTTGTTTATGATGGCCATTCTGACCAGTGTGAAGTGGTTTTAATTTGCATCTGGCTGATGATTAGTGATGCCGAGCATCCTTTCATGTGTTTAGAGGCCCTGTATGTCCTCCTTGGAGAAGTGTCTGTTCAGGTCCTCTGCCCATGTTTTAGTTGGATTTTTTGTCTTCCTGGTGTGGAATCATGTGAGTTCTTTTATATTTTTGGAGATCAAGCCCTTATCCAAGGTAACATTGGCAAATACATTTTCCCATAAAGTTGGCTCCCTTTTCATTTTGCTAATGTTTTCTCTAGCCGTGCAGAAGCTTTTTAATTTGATGTAGTACCATTTGTTTATTCTTTCCTTTATGTCCTTTGTTCTAGGGCACATATTGCTGAAAGTATGGCTGCCTGGAATACCTGAAATTGTCCTTCCCATATTCTCCTTTTGGACTTTTATGGTGTCATGACTTATATTTAAGTCTTTTATGCATCTTGAGTTTATTTTTGTGTATGGTATAAGTCGGTGGTCAAGTTTCATATTTTTATGTGTAGTTATCCAGATATTCCAACATAATTTGTTGAAGAGGCTATTTTTACTCCATTTTATGCTCCTGCCCCCTTTGGCAAATATTAATTGACCATAGAGTCATGGGTTTATTTCCAGGCCCTCTATTCTGTCCCATTGATCTATGCATCTGTTCTTATGCCAGTACCAGACTGTTTTGATGACAGTCATCTTGTAATATAGTTTGATATCAGGTATTGTGATCCTTCCTACTTTGCTCTTTCTCAAAATTGCTGATGCTATTCAGGGTCATTTATGCTTCCATATAAATTTTTGAAATGTTCTATGTGAAATATGCCATTGGTATTTTAAGAGATTGTGTTGAATCTATAAATTGCTTTGGGTGTTATGGATATTTTGATGATATTAATTCTTCTAATCCATGAACATGGTATGTGCTTCCATTTAGTTGTGTTTTCCTTAATTTCTTTCTGCAGTGATGTGTAGTTTTCTGAGTACAGGTCTTTTACCTCCTTGATTAAGTTTATTCCCATTTTTCTTGTTACTATAGCAAATGGGATTCTTTTTTCCTGGTTTCTGTATCTGATATTTCATTGTTGGTGTACAAAAATACGTTCAGTTTCTGAATAATGACTTTGTATCCTGCTATTTTGCCAAATTCACTTATTAGATCGAGTAGTTTTTTGGTGGAGTCTATAAGGTTTTCTATGTACACTATCATGTCATCTGCAGACACTGACATTTTACTCCCTCCTTTCCAGTTCGGATGCCTTTTCTTTCTTTTTCTTGTCTGATCACTATGGCTAGCGCTTCCAATGCTATGTTGAATAGAAATGGTGAAAGCGGACACCCTTCTCTTGTACCTTATCTTAGTGGGAAAGCTTTTAGTTTTCGTCCATTGAGTATGATGTTGGCTTTAGGTTTCTCATACACCTACTTTTATGTTAAGGTAAGCTCCCTCTACTCCCACTTTGCCTAGCGTTTTTATCGTAAATGGGTTTTTTACCTTATCAAATGCTTTTTCTGGATCTATTGATAAGATCGTATCATTTTTGTCTTTCCTTTTGTTTATGTGATGTATTGCATTTATTGATTTGCAAAAATCATTACCATCCTTGCATCCCTGGGATGAATCCCACTTGATCATGGTGTATGATATTTTTAGTATATCGCTGGATGTCGTTTGCCAATATTTTTTTTTGAGAATTTTAGCATCTATATTCATCAGAGATACTGGCTTGTAGTTTTCTTTCTTTGTTGTGTCTTTATCTGGTTTTGGGGTTAGGATGGTGCTGGCCTCAAAAAAGAGTTTGGAGGGCTTCCCTTTTCTTGGATTTTTTGGAACAGTTTGAGAAGGATAGGTGTTAGCTCTTCCTTCAATGTTTTGTTAAATCCTCCTGTGAAACCGCCCAGTCCACAGCTTTCATATGCTGGGAGTTTTTTGATTACTGCTTCAATTTCACTAGCTGTTATCAGCCTGTTCAGCCTTTCTGCTTCTTCTTGATTCAGTTTTGGAAGAATATGTTTCTAGAAATGTGTCCATTTCACCCAGGTTTTCAAATTTCTTGGCATGTAGTTGTTCATAGTAATTTCTTACAATCCTTTGTATCTCTGTGGTATCAGTTGTAATTTCTTCTCTTTCATTTCTGATTTTATTCATTTGGGCTCTCCCTCTTTTTTTCTTGATGAGTGGGATTAAAGGCTTGTCGATTTTGTTTATCTTTTCAAAGAACCAGCTCCTGGATTTATTGATCCTTTGAATTGTTCTTTAGTCTCCATGTTATTCAGTTCTGCTCTGACCTTGATTATTTCCTTCTTTCTTCTTGCTCTGGGCTCTGTTTGTTTTTGTTCCTCCTGTTCTTGTAGATGTAAGAATAGGTTGTTTATTTGAAATGTTTCTATCATTTTTAGGTAGGCCTGTGTCGCTATGAACTTCCCGCTCAGGACTGCCTTCAGTGTGTCCCATAGGTTTTGTGCTGTTGTGTATTCATTTTCATTTGTTTCCAGAAACTTTTTGATTTCTTCATTGACCTCATTATTAACCCATTCATTGTTTAATAGCATGCTTTTTAGTCTCCATGAGTTTGAATGTTTTTGAGTTTTTTCCTTCAGGTTGGTTTCTAGTTTCAAGCCCTGTAGACCAAGAAAATGCTTGATATGATTTCAATTTTCTTGGATTTGTTAAGGCTTGTTTTGTGTCCTATCATGTGGCCTGCCTTTGAAAATGTTCCATGTGCATTTGAAAAGAACATGTGTTTTGCTTCTTTGGGATGCAAGGCTCTATATATATCAGTTAGGTCCATTTCATCTAGTGCATTGTTCAGTGCCACAATATCCTTGTTGATGTTTTGTTTGGAAGATCTATCCATTGTTGACAATAGGATGTTAAAATCCCCTACTATCAGTGTGTTGCTGCCAAAACTTTCTTGAAGTTCTCCAACATTTTCCTTATATATTTGGGTGCTCCTATGTTGGGTGCATATAGGTTTACAATGTTTATGTCTTCTTGATGGATTCTTCCTTTGAGTATTATGAAGTGTCATTATGTGTATCTTCTTATGGCCTTTGTTTTGAAGTCTGTTTTTTCTGACCTAAGTATTGCTACCCTGGCTTTTTTTATCCCATCCATTTGCTTGGAATATTTTTTTCCAACTTTCACTCTCAGTCTGTGTAGGTATTTTGTTCTGAGGTGGGTCTCTTTTAGGCAGCATATGTGTGGTTCATGTTTTCTTATCCATTGAGCTATCCTATGTCTTTTGATTGGAGTATTTAATCCATTTACATTTAAGGTTATTATTGATAGATACTTATTCATTTTTCCCCTTTGTACCTGTGTTCCTCTCTCTCACTCTTTTTCTTTATTGTCTTAAAGCAGTCCCTTTTAGCAT